ATAGTTCGAATTAAGCAACAACTTGAATTCACTTTTTAGGGTTTCATAAAAGAAACTTCTATTGATTTCAAAGCACTTAAGGAGGCCATATATTGTCAATTTCCCACCTCGTCAACAATAACATACAAGTGACTGAGGATAAAGTCTACTGTCGTTCCCTATTAATTAACTGGTAACCAATCCAGTATGAGATGGGACATCATTATTTTCGCTTGTTCGCTGTCGCGCCATTTTTCCTTCTGTATGGTCTTTGCTAGTTTATCAGTGTCATAGCAATGTTTGATGTTTCATTGTGACAGAATGTTGTAACTTATACTTACTTACTTACTTACTTACGCCTGTTACCCCCAATTGAGCATAGGCCGCCCACCAGTTTTCTCCAACCAACTCTGTCCTGGCCTTCCCTCTCCAGTTCTGTCCAATGTTTGTGTATTCTTCTCATATCTTTCTCTATTTCTCGGCGTAATCTATTCTTTGGCCTTCCTCTTTTCCTTTTGCCTTGAGGGTTCCATGTGAGGGCTTGTCTCATGATGCGGGTAGGTGCTTTTCGTAGTGTGTGTCGTATCCACTTCCACCAAATCTTCCTGATTTCCTCCTCCACTGTAATCTGGTTTGTTCTCTCTCACAGTACGTTGTTGCTGATCGTGTCTGACCAACGAATCCGAAGTATTTTTCGTATTCAACTGTTCATAAACACTTGTATCTTCTGGATGATGGCTTTTGTAGTTCTGCTCCATACAGGAGAACTGTTTTGACATTTCTATTGAAAAATCCTGATTTTGTGTTGATTGAAAGTTGTTTGGAGTTTCAGATATTTTCAACTGTAGAAATGCAGCGGTTTGCTTTACCGATCCGCGCCCTCACATCTGCAGCGGACCCACTTTGGTTGTCGATAATGCTGCCCAGATATGTAAAGGTGTTAACGTCACTCCAAGGCATCTCCATCAAGGACTGATTTGGTTGGTGCAGTGTTGTGTTGCATCGGAGAAGTTTTGCTTTCCTTTTATGTATGTTGAGACCTACTGCTGCAGAGGCTGCTGCTACTTGTAACTTATAGATGAATCAATACGCAGAGTCTATTCTCCTCCTCATATAAGTTAATCGTTGTACTTCAAATTTTTGCGCAAAATTATAGAAGGGTTATTTTAATTCTAGATAGGTTCATCTTAGAGCTGTTGATATGTTTGTAAGTATAACCACTATTTCCAACCAGCGATTCGAATGCACTAAATGTTCACATAAGTACAAACTAGCGGCTTTATGAATAATCAGTGACATGAATGGTGAAATTAGCCGCACACAATTGCCATGCATTATCGATTATACGAATCAATAATTGAGCTATTGTTTAAAAACACAATCGAAAATAACAGTTTTGTTAAATGACGGTCATTTTAAATTTATCCACATCTCATTTGTTGATGAACTTGCGAGAGTAAAACTGTCCCATAAAAAAAGTACCCCCAATCAGCATCAGTCATACTGTTAATTTGATTTGATTTATTCTAATATTGAGTAAATAAGCAAAGTATGCACCAGTAGGATACTACTGTTTCCATCACAGTTTGACTATCACTGTCTCATCAAAATTGCATCAACGTATGTATACTCAAGAAGTAAACTATTCGTGTTTCAACAAATCTCATTCACGTTTGTTTTGAAACCTGAATCGATCAATGTTAGACCACCGTTAGAAACCTGGAAGCACTGGACGGCCATTTTCGTCCTGGGAGAATCCTCAGCAGTGCGCATCCACCCCGCAGGATTCGAACCTTCGGGTATTGTACGCGAACGCCTAACCATCGGACCAATCTTCACAATCCCGTAATGCAAATCTCATTCAATCGATTTCGACTATCAAATTGCACCAAATGTGTCATTGGATCTTTTGTTTATCCTACATATAATACAGAAATGTGCAGATGCAGACATACTGAAGTATTCAATGAATGAGTACAGAGGAATTCGATTTGAGAATGAATATTAAATAATAAAATCAATATTTCGTATTTCTGTCCAGAACTCATCGTTCAATCGTCGTCCCTTGCCTAATCCATTTCAAAGAATATCGAAAATGATTGATTGATGATTTCAAATGTGTAAAAACACAAACCTCTAAAACTACTGCCCCAGAATATCGTAACATTGCTCACTAGTGACTGGCTTCGTTAGGAAATTCTCGGAGTTCTAGTTGAGAAGATGTGACCAATGGAGTTCAACTCTGTCGAGTGTGGGTGGAGGTCGCGCAAAGATCCCTAGAGTCAATCAGAGCTAGACATTAACACCGTTGGATGTCCGGCCCAGTGGTCCCGATGATTAGGCGGTTCGCTGCACAATACCGAAAGGCCGCTGGGTTCCGAAGCCTGCGGCTATCAGAACGTGCGTTGGATGCGGCATTGCCACTGATGAGTCCCATACCAGGACGAAAATGGCCAGTCTTTCCAGTGTTTTCCAACCTTTCTAATGGTGGTCTAACAATGAATCATTCGTTCAATATTTCAATAAGTCATAAAAAAATGGAACAGGGTTGGTCAAAGTTATAAAACTCTAAGTTCAGTTGATTTATTATGAACAAATAATAGATTAAAACAATATTTGAATACACTAAGTTGTATAATCAGATTTTGGATCAATTAAACTGATTAGTGTTCTATATGATGAATTCATCGTTTAACATATCTAAACACAATTTACACTATCGTACGTATGATGAAACTGTAATCACCAACAGATATGATTAGTATATTGAGTTTTTCAGGATTACACTATGATGAAACTAGTTCAACAACTTTAGTATTCACATAAACATAATGTGTAGTTCAGACGAATAACCTTACAATATTGATTTGCTTTAATCGATTAGAAATTAACAACTATATAGTTGGTATGAATGAATACGAAGCAAAATTAGAGAATTTACAAAACATATCTTTTCATTAGTTATAAGTTGGTAATAGGTTTTAAACTGTAGATCGATTAGATTGGTATAAGTCAACATAAGTCTGTAAGTCTACAATCTGACTGTGTAAACAATATGCAGTCATACAATTCGGGTCCAATAGTTTGTTGTTAAATGATAGATTTTTAGTGGTGATCGAGTCGAGATTTGACTATGATCACCACTAAATACTCATTACTATCCCGTCACCAATATATTTGAAGGAGAAAATAGGTGTTGTTACATCAAGCAGCAAGTTATGAAAGATGGCGGCAAAGCGAAAAAGCACGTTGCGCGCGAATAAGTGTTTTTAGTATAATTAAATGTTTATTTTTCGCCAATCGCTTTTTCTTCGTAGAAATGTTCCACTACAGATTTAATTGTTCTTAACATAAACATTCCTTCGTAGTTTACATAAAGGACTGATGATATCAGTAGTAGTGTAGTGAAGGAGAACACAGGTGAGGGCAACCGAATTGTATTTAACGAAAATTACAGAGTTAATCAGTAAAATAGGAAAACCATATCGTAACCGTTAATTTGCAAATCTTCAATCCATCATCAATCCATTGTCTGACATTTCACTATTCATGCGTTTCATACAAATTCCATTGTGTTCTAACTCTTTCTTTCTTGATCTTCCCCCCACTTCTGCTGCCAGACATTAGGTTTACACTCGCGTCAAATACTACTTATAAGTAGCGTGCACCACAGTAGAATCCCAAACCTTCAAGACACTCGACAGGTGTTCAATCTCTAGGCCATTAAGTAGATATTGAATGGTTTACAAGTCTAACTTTAATCAGTCAGACACGATTGTTGGATAACTGTCTCGACATTCGACATCTATGAACTAGATTGCTTTTGATGCCTTATTAGAACCCCAGTAATTATCTCCCTGAATTAATTATCATTAATAATGTTGGACGTACAGACGTACGGTTGCAACGTAGAACTTCGTACGTATGTACATAAGTTCATGTTGCCATACCACATTAGCACAGAGACGCAAATATCAAATCGAATCCCACAGTGATAAAGCTAGTAGGGGTATTGATGGTAATGAAGAAGACTAGGGTTTAAAGATATTATTCAAGAAGTATAATTCAGTGAGATAATGTTAGAAAGACAAAGGTAGAGGTGCTAACGAATCCAGAAGATTAGGATTTGAGAGAGCTCAAAGAATGGATGCACATGCGCCATTGAGCCATGTCGTTCAAGGTCTCTAACCATTGGTGACTTTCGTCTCGCGGACCCAACCAGTTAGTCTACATCTACCAACATGACTCAGTCCACTTGTCAGTGACTTCATGGATTTGTGCCATGTTTTGGTTTGGCCGCCCCTAGCTTTCTTCCAACCTACACATACACCACAAAACATAGATTGTCACGTTAGTCGGTTGGGCATTCGTAACACATGTCCCAACCACCTCAACGGATGAAGTTTCACCAATTCATCTATTGATCTGCCATCCTTACCTAGTACTCGTTTCCTAACGACAGCATTGCTTACTCGGTTGTCCCACGATATACGAGCAATGCTTCTTAAACATCTATGATCGAATACTAGTAACCTACGAATATCTTCTACTCTTACCGGCCATGTTTCGCATCCATATAGGAGAACGGATCGAACTGCTGCGCAGTACACTTGTCCTTTGGTTAGCGAACGAATATCTTGCCTACTCCATAAACGGCGTAAATTGGCAAAAGCAAATCGAGCTTTCTGTGTCCGTGCTGAGATTTCGTCAGTCACCAGGCTATCAGCACTGATGAGACTCCCAATAATGTTGGAAACCTATGAAGACTTGTAAATTGTATCAATTATTGAGAAACAGGAAACATTGAACATTTATTTTGTTTTAATGACTGTTCAAGGTGAAATTCATAAAATGTACACTATAAAATTCAACAGTTAGTTTCTCATGTTATATTATGGAAAATTTCCTTTTATTTCACATCAACAAGATTATTATTATTATTACTATTGTTAAAATATTCTCACATTATTATTTTCATCTCGTTTTCCCTTTTTTTCTACACACACACACATTCCCATTAGTGTGCAACAAGTCCATGTCATCGACGTGAAGAAGATAATAAACTAGCTGTAGAAGAATTCAAGCATGATTTAAGTCGACGTAATATATTTCGATGTTATGCTACACCAAAACCAAGTAGTTCACATTTTTTAAATAATGAACAACAAAATCCTTCTTCTACTTCTTCGTCTTCTTCATCCTCCTCCTCAACATCATCATCATCATCTGTCCTGTCAATTTCTCAATCTTCCATAATATCAACTAATTCTACACTAGTACCAGTCAATCATAAATTACCGACAAATCGATATCATCTACCTCAATTGGATTCTAGTCATGCTGCAGCTATCTTACATCGTTTATATACACCATCAATGTTTATGCATGGTCTTTTATGGCCTGGTGGTATATTTTTAATTGCTTTAATCATTTTATTATTTACTTATTTTACTGATTCATGTGAAGCATGGGCTGGTGATAAAACTGTGATTGCTTAACAAGAAATGAATTTTTTTGAAACTGAAAACTAGTACATTCATTGTGTGATTTATATGCTGCATCTTCCAAAATTATCAATTGTTTGGTATGCTGTATAAACATCGTCATCAACTTCATCATCATCATCGTATTCCATTGATTTGACTTTTGTGTCAAGTACCAACCATTATTCAAGCAAGCACTGATGTGTTGTTGTTTATACAGATTGTGTAGTATTTTTTTTTGGTTCTGTTTGCATACAGTACAAGCGGGTTTTGTGTGTTGTGTGTGTGTACGTGTATGCATGTCCGTACCTATACCTGTGTACGTGTATGTATGTATGTATGTATGTATGTAAGGAATTCGTTCAATTTTGATTCTTTCATTTTATTTATCTTGAAAATAATCTCAATAATGTATGAATTATTAGATTCTTTGAAATCTGTTTCATTGTTATCAATAGAGGTATGTCAGTCATTTAGTGAGTCAGTCAATTAGTCAGTTACAATGTAGAACTTCGTACATACGTACATCTATCTGTTCAAGTTGTCATACCACATGAGCACACAGACGCAGTTGTCAGTTCAAATCCCATAAATGATAGAGATAGTAGAAGTATTAGTAGTAATGGAGAAGATTAGGGTTCGAAGATGTTATTCAAGAAAGAGAAAGATAGAGGTGATGAAGAATTCAGAAGTTTAGAATTTGAGAGAAGATAAAGAATGGATGAACTTGCGGTATTGCGAACGATGTTGAGCCAAGTCATTCAAGGTCTCTAACCATCGGTTACTATCGTCTGTCGGACCCTAACTAAGTAGTACACCTACCAACACGCCTCAGTCCACTTGTTGGTGACTTCATGGATTTGTGCCATGTTTAAGTAATTAGATGTATGTATTCATCCTCAGGTCAAGATTTAAAAAATGATTTGACGTTTGGCAATTTATTCGTTGTTTCTGGCAGCTGTAGCGCTAGTAGTTCTAATAGTTACGTAAGTATAGTTTCATCCAGCTGAAATCAATATTACAGAATTTTCGTTTATAGTCGATGAACCAGCGTCCAGCTCGGCTACCTTGATTCGAACTGCTAAATAGAAGTCTTGATAAGCGTAGAAATTATATTCTACAAACACCCAGCAAGCACAATACAATCAAGCACACAACTCTAGTTTATTTAAACATCATAGAAACGTCCTTCGGACAGTCACAAAAATAGCACACTAAAATACATAGCAGCCAATCACAGCCAGGGATTCTCCTGGTGGGAAATGACATCTCAAGGTCAACTGATCAGCCCATGCTGGCAAACGTGAAATCCAAGATAATTCATTTATCAAGCGAGTTCTGGGGATCTAACGTCCCCAACAGTGCTCACTAGTGTATAGCTTCGTCAGGGAATTCTTGGCGTGACTAGTGGAGTTCATCACTGTTGAGTGTAGGCAGTAACTACAGAAGACAAATGAGTGAGGTCACGCAAAATCGATAGATTGATCAGAGTTTGACATTAGCACCATTAGATGCCAGCCCAGGTTAAGCGTTCGCGTGCAGAACGTAAGGTCCTGGGTAGCAAGATTCGTGAATGCGCACTGCTGATGAGTTCCATACCAGAACAAAACGTTCGTCCAGAAGTTCCAGGTTTCTAATGGTGGTCTAAAAATGATTGATGATTTCAGTAATATACTAAGGACATCTGTTGTACAACTTTGTCTTAAATTAACCATCAGCAACATCGAATTCGTGGAATTAAAAAGCTTAAGAAAATCTTGATAATCAATATCTGAAGTTAGGTAAATAAAGAATGAATATATCTGCACCTCTGTGACGGGTTATGGGCCACGTAACTCATTATGTCCAACTACTGGTTTTGATAATCACGAGGACTCCGAACAGTTAATCTGTACATACAAATATAGCTTAATACAACAGTCATTGACTTCATGAACTGATATCACGTCTTGGTTTGAGTGTCTACCAAAACATTCTTACTTTATGAACTATCGTACATCGAGGGAAGTGATATCTCAGCACACGTAATATATGTCAAAACCACCTGAGGCGATGAAAATCTATTAGCTTATCAAACTATTTTTATTTTTACTTACCATCCTGAGTCTAATCTTACTCGATGCTACCATCATACTCGAGCTAGGATTTAGAGGCATCTATGATTTATATAATATTAACCTACGAATATCATTTATTTTTTAAGGTCATGTTACATAGCCATAATTAGAAACAGTACAAATTGCTGTACAGCAGACTGCTTTGGTTGATAAGTAAATACCTCGCCTACACAACAGATACGTCATATTAACAAAAGCCAACAGATTTTCGAATCCGTGGTGAAATTTAATCAAACACTAATCCACCAAGGCTAACGAAACTTTCAAGTGATCGATGCGTTCGATCAATCAATTCTTTATACTTAGTTTAAGCATAAATGTAGAGCGGGGTATGAGGGCGGTTTTCACTTCCCGGCTGCCCACACCATGGAAGGGTGTTTCTTGAGGAACCTGAAAAGGAAGGTGGATTAGAGTTGTTCTTAGAGACCTGGTTGCGTGACCGCAGAGCCCAAGGGACAACTGCTTCAGGCCGGTCACACACGGCCTTATAATTAAGGGTTTTTTGAGTATTAGCTCCGCTCTTGAAAGCCCTTAGTGGGCACTCTTACCGACGGAGACGGAAATCCGTCAGGTAGGGTGAGGTGTGACATTTTTAGGGTCGATCTTTTCTAACCCTTCTTTCCTTGTGAGAAAGCAGCATCGCTGCACATTCTGGTTGTCCGAGGGAAAAAACCTTACTGCTGTTACACCCCTCCATCACAGTCAACAGTACGACTTCGCCCTCAGACCTTGGGTAGCTGCTTTTAGTCTCATCATTCTCCAATCGACCTGCCTGGTATGGTAGAACCTTCAGGAACATATATTCCAGCCAATATATCTCGGTTGGGTCATCATGATAGGAAAGCCAGACCACCACGTTAAGGTAGCAGCTACGGTTGGGATTAATGCACAGCAATCCTGAAGCAACATTTTGTATCAAAATGAAAAGAAATGCAACTCAAACAGGATCGTATTGTTCCTCAAAACTAATGATGCACTAATCAATTTACTAGATTACCTTCTCATTTAACATAATTAACATAATTTCCAATTTATATCCAATATCTTTTTCACGAGCTAGTATAAACCAACTGATTTCTTTGCTCTCGATTCTTGTTCTTTCGGTACGTCAGACCATTTACATCGGCACAAGGGTTGGTTCCAAACAATATAAAATGTTACATAAGATTTCCACTTGACAATGCTTAAAAATACAAATAAGAGTACCTACTGAATGCTTATGGTGGAGGTCTGTTCTCTGAGTTTGATGTTTTGGTTGTAGAGTTCTCATTGTTCTTCTGAACGACATCATCAGTACAAACCTCAGGTAGGAGTGAAGTATTTAGATGTCTCCAATCAAGAAACCAATGATCTTAATCCGGTCCATTTCATCAAAGTATCAATAAGAACAAGCTTAAAGTAGGAGATATTCAACACACTTCGAGTTAATTACTTTCAAGCTTTTGTGTGAAATTCGAAAGGAATGGATTGGTGTAAAGTTATATATAAAATAGGAAAGAGTCGAATAGATTTTAGATTTGGTGTAAAATTTAAAGACAAACACGTAGTTCGAACAGTAGAAATACTCTTCTATAGTGCTCAGTATGTTTTAAACAATTTCAATAACTTACATTTTACCACTGTAGAGTAAAAATGATGGTAGTAAATATGTCAAACGTCCAATCAATTTTGGGTAGATTTTATGTGATAGGCAAATCAACTCTAATCTTAATTCTAACCTATAATCCAGTAACAAGCATTAACCCAGTAACATTACATGCTATGAACAAACTAATCATATTTATGATAACCCACTGCGTCACGAGGTTAGCCCTAAATTCTTACCCTCAAGGCCAAAGGACCAGTGGTAGACCGAAGAACACATTGCACCGAGAATGGGAGGTAGACATGAATAGAATGAATAGCAATTGGGAACAGCTGGAGAGGGTAGTTCAGGACAGAATTGGATAGAGAATCCTAGTCGGCGGCCTATGCACGATTAAGAGTAGTAGACACAAGTAAGTAATTTGACTACAAAGTATTTTTATATTATAGCTAATGTTAGTTTGTGAAAAATAACCCTGATCCCAATCAAGACCAGTTTGGGACTTTTAGAAAATCTATATAAATTCCTTAGTAGGGTTTCAAGATGACAGGTAACCTACATCTAAGTGTACTAATTTACAAATCGTCACCCTTCAATTTACATACAGAATAACCTGTAGAACACTTAAACAGATTCACTGATCGCGTATTACATGGTTTTACTGCTTTCTTATTAACCAAGGTCTGGCTAAAAATTCGTCGTAGTTGTTTCACACAAATCCTTATTCGATATTTTTTTATCTAAACTTGAAAGTGGTTTATTCGATTGTCATTGGCTGATCTGTGTGTTTGCATTTTCTTTGATAATACATGTACACTCTCCGATACTTCTTAACAATGCCAACTTGAAGGTCATGTAGTCAGTCATCTAAAAGACCATAGATGATGACTCACCATTTGGTAATAAATCACAAGTAACAAAATCAGGACAATCAAGCTACACATCTGAGTGAAAGGCTTAAAAGCCAACTAAAAGTACTTAACAGAGGAAAAAGATATGTGAATAGTTATTGAGTCAATCGGAAGACTACAATTATAATCGAATAATCTCATAAACCAACCATTGAATCAATAATGCACAGTAAATCATTGACAATTTCAAACATTCTTTCCTATCTTTGCAATAGGCACTTGCATAAACTCATTGTACTTAGTATTGACTGTTCAGTTAATGTGAATTTAACAATAAGTATCTACATCGATTGTTGAAATTTACTTTTTCCATGGTTAACTAATCATTCTGAAAAATCATAGTATTCATTCAGCTAGTGTGACGGTCATAATGGACAAATAAAAGATTTGCATTACGGGGTTGTGAAGATTGTTAAGTTACACATTTTTCGGAACCATGAATCGAATCCTGTGGGGTGCAGGAGTCGTGGATGCGCACTGCTGGGGAGTCCCATACCAGGATGAAACGGCCGTCCAGTGCTTCCAGGTTTATAATAGTGGTCTAACATTGATCGATTCATGGTTTCAAAAAATGTGTAAATAAAAGATTATTGTTTATTTTATATTTATATTGTTCCGTGAGTAACCCATAATCAACCAATTGGCAATTCAGTTGTAATACTCTGTATGCTAGATGGTTGAAAGCAGTTTGTTAGTAATCTTTTGTTCATCATTTTGCACCAAACATAAATTATTGTTTTGTATGCAGTTAGATTCCGATCAAGAAATGTAACATTTAAAGTTTGTCAATGTTATGAACTGATATGTGGGTGAACGAACACGGTAT